TGCCTATGTGTTAACATTAGGCCGTCACCCCTACTTTTTCTTTCTTTCTATTCCTCCCGCCCTTCGGATTTGGCCAAATGGGTGTCTCTTAGCCGAGTGGGCTCTCGGCAGCTATTAGATAGCTTTACGTCCTCGTATAAGAATTTTAAAGCGGGATTTTTTCGAGTGACCATTCGTCTGAACGGGAGGCGTTTCTTCTTTGGAGCCGACGACAAGAATTTTTTTCCGCTGTTCTGGACCCGTGCCCCTCGGCCGTATGATGTAGTGCCGAATGAGATGCTCACAGCCGAAGAGCAAAGGGATTTGCAATTTTTACTTCAACTTCCTAGGCGCTTGCCGACTAAGTCTTTAATAAACGTAGTTGAATCTTCCCGATGGGAGAACGATTTGATAGGTATGAAACATTCTTGTTTCGGCCTTTAAGTTAATTCCTATTGATGTTTACTTGGTTATTGATGCAGGAATCATGGTGACGAGTGGTACCGATGAGTTCAACATCCGCAATCTTTTGGCTGGTCGAATTCAACAAGCTAAGGCCTCGGGGGTTGTGGGAAGTTCGGCGCCTGCGCAAACGCCTCGTCCAGTACAAGATGATCGAAGTCCGCCTACGCCGGAACGAAAGCGCCGAAAGGTGAAGAAGGGGAAAGAGGTTCTTCGGGAGGGGCCGAAACGAAAAAGTAATGAGGAGAGGCCGGAAAAAACCAAGAGATTTAAGCACTCGGCGTCCTCCCCAGGTGGGACAATTATTTGCGTGCCCCCCATGCTGATGTCGAGGGCCTTTCTGAGTGAAGACGTCACTGCCGAATCAGTGGTTCGGTCTAACTCAGTCTCGGATCATGGCCGTGAGTTCTTAGGCCAGTTGGATACCGTGGCGAAATGGAAATATTTCTGCGAGGTGCAGTCTCGGTCATTGGCACTCGCGCACCATCTCGCTATGGAGCCAATCGGCGAGTTGCTTCAACTGAGGCAAAGGGTTGAGGACGCCGATAAGGCCACAGCCGAGGCTCTGGCGGCATCTGAAGAAGCATCAGCAAAGAGTCGTCAACTTGCGGCCGAACTTGATGTACAGCGACGCAACAATGATACTCTTCGGCTGGACATGCAAAAAGCCGCGAACGATGAAAAGCGCCGACTGGAGGAAGCTAAGGCGGAACTGGAGCGAGTAAAAGAGCAAGCCAAGGAGCGTATCGTTGCTCAGCATGAAGCTGGGTTTCGCCATGCCCTTCGGCAAGCACAACACTTCGGTCGGTTTAGGGAGGGATTTGAGTTTGACATGTCGAAAGATTTCTATCAAGGGTCTTTCATGTCTTTCCAAGATATGCCCGAGGGGGCCGTCCCTGACAATGACGCGCCGAATGAAGACCGCGAGGATGAAGAGACCCTTGATGCTTCGGATGATGAGGCTGAAACCCAACAGGAAGAGCCGAACCAAGATCAAGAGGGAGAGCCTGAGGTGCAAGATGACGCGGGCAACAACGCCGAAGAGTGATTATGTTGTATGGCAGGCCGATAGAGCCTTTTTAATTTGACTTTAGTGTAGGTTGATTGTAGTATTGGCCGATAGAGCCTTTTAACGTTTGTTAATGACAAGTACTCGTTTTTTGAAGAAACTCATCATTGGATTGTGTATCTTGCCCTTTTATTTTGATTGTTTGAGTCAAAACCGAATGAGGTCATTCGGACTTGATGCCTTTTGGGGTCAAGATCGAATGGGGTCATTCGGACTTGACGCTTTTTAAGTCGAGACCGAATGGGGTCATTCGGACTTGATGCCTAGATCGGAATTATTACAATATATGTGTTGAGGTAGTAAGGGTGTCACATAGGAAACCTCTACATCTATCATCCCTTATGATTAGAGAAATGGATCTTTTTGGCTCAAATGAAATATTTAAGTTTGGCTTATAAGGTTACCCTTAGTGGTGTGAGACTAGGTATTATTCGAGTAATTAATGGATTGTTGAAGGAAATTGGAGAAACATAATTAGTTGATTCATTTTGGTGACAAGATATGAGGCTATAGGATAAGGTGATGGATAAGAGTTTGACTTGGGTGTAGATGTAGCGGTGAAATTAGATATCTGATATGTATACCTAGTGAACTTACGCTTAGGTGCTTGATCTTTAGAGATGATCATAGAAGTAAAACCAATATTGTGGCAGATGCCTTGATTATGATGACCTCTGATATATCATTTTTGATGATTTAAGGGTTGGATTTGATTGAAGAATTTAGAGACTTATGCTTGGTGTGTGAGATTATCCTTAGGAGCATTGAATTGATTATGTTGAAAGTGACTAGTGAATTAATGGATGAGATTAGAGAAGCCTAAGAGTCAGATCCTTTCTTAGGGAACCAAGTGGAGAAGATTGGTAGAAGTATAGATAACCATTTCTGAGTAGAAATCGACGTTGTTTTGAGGTGCAAGAACAAACTTGGGTGCTTAGTAACCTTGAATTAAGAAAGATGATTTTAGAGGAAGGACATAAGAGTACTCTTAACATTCATTTAGGAGCTACTAAGATGTATCAGAGTGGCGCAGCGGAAGCGTAGTGACCTAAGGTGAAGAGAGGAGTAGAGGAATTTGTGTACTCGTGTTTAGTATGCTAGAAGTCTTTAGGACTTCTGCAGCCTTTAGACGTCCCATTTTGGAAGTGAGATGGTGTGTAGATAAACCATGGGTGTAGGCTTGCCTAAGATGATTACGAAATTTGATTCTTTTTGGGTTATAGTGGTTAGACTCACCAAATTTACTTGCCTTACCCTCGTTGGTAATAGACATTCCTTGGTAAAATTGATAGAGTTCTACATCTATAAGGTAGTGAGGTTGCATAGGAATTAGAAAGTAAGATGCGAGGAGTCTACCATTGCAAAAATTTTGGGGATGAAATTTCATAAAGGAGGGGAGAATTGTAATAGCCCAATTTTCACTAGGCCAAGAACCCAATTAAGGTGGTTTAGTAGCCCGGAATGGGCCGTTCCAAGTTACTAAATAGTCCTACTTTTGGTAGCCTGGAACGGGCCTTTCCGAATATGGAACGGGCCGTTCCAAACCATTAAATTTTCCTATGATTCTTAGTTGGGAACAGGACGTTCCGGTTTTCAGAAATGGCTTTTTCACCTAATTGAGAACGGGCCGTTCCAGAGTTGAGAACGGGCCGTTCCCAAAATATGACCGTTGTAAGTATTAAATGCACCCCAGAACTGGTCGTTCTGGTTTAAGAAAGGGTCGTTTTGGACGTGATTTTTACTCGTGATTTAAGGGTCCAAAACGGGTCGTTCTGGATTTTGAACGGGCTGTTCCGAAGACATCTGATCCTATAAATAGAGCACTCTAGCACTCTCAAAAGCACACTTTTCGCTTCTCTCTTCTTTTCTTTTTTGCTCTCTTCTTTTCCTTCTACACTCTCTGAAGACCGAGAGGCACTCAGAGGAAGAGACCAAGGAGATCTCTGTTTTAGTTTCAGCTACTGTTTATCCAGGTACAGGGGAAAAAGGGATTATTTGTATGTAGAGTTACATGAGGGAATTGGGTAGAGGAAGAGTCCCTTAAGATTATGAGTAATTTTATAATTATTTATGTTTGAGAAATTGATGATCCCATTAGATTCTGTATGTGTTGAGGATTAGAAATATGCTAATAATTTGTAAGAATGATGATCTGGGAGAGAGAACGAAATTGTATAAAAGTGTCTGTAAGTTAGGTTTTGGAATAATTGGAGGTTTTACCATTATGTTAAGATTATATTAAATTAGTAATTCCATTGATTATTATATCAATTTATGAATGTTATTGTTATATTACTTGATAAGACTTGATGATCTCGATGTGAATTGCTTGAGGGGTGTGTAAACCCTTATTTTGTTGGACTTATCTGTTGTGTATGGGATATAGAGAATTGTGTATGTGATATGAAATTGAGCTATGAGATGAGATGTTGTATGGATATGATTATGATTGTGATTGTGGTTCCTCACACTAATGACCAAGGATGAGACGAACCTTGAGTAAGTGATGCTACAAGGACGAGCGTGCACCTGGCATGGTGTGGGATGAGTGAGACAATTAACACGCATCACTTATGTCAAATATGGCAGCCCTGGCATATGGTTAATTGCAAGACTTTTGTGGATTGTAATGTGATTGTGGTTCCTCAGACTAATGACCAGGGATGAGACGAACCTTGAGTAAGTGATGCTACAAGGACGAGCGTGCCCCTGGCATGGTGTGGGATGAGTGAGACAATTAACACGCATCACTTATGTCAAATATGGCAGCCCTGGCATAGGGTTAATTGCAAGACTTGTGTGGATTGTAATGTGATTGTGGTTCCTCACACTAATGACCAGGGATGAGACGAACCTTGAGTAGTGATGCTTCAAGGACGAGCGTGCCCCTGGCATGGTGTGGGATGAGTGAGGCAATTAACCCGTATCACTTGTGTCAGATGTGGCGTAGCCTTGGCATAGTGTTAATTGTAAGATTTGAGTGGATTGTGATGGATTGATGTAATTGAGATGTGAAGATGATGAATGATTGATAAATTATGATATATATATATATATATATATAAATGCTTGTGAATATTTCATTAAGGAGTTATAATGAGATTATGTTGTGTTTTCCCTTGTGTGTTTTCCATATAGATGTTTTCTTTTCTCACCGTACAACTTGTGAATGTTTTAGGTGAGGAAGATCTGACTATGATGGCATCTAGAATGTCAACAATTGATTTATGGGTATGTTCTGATACTGTGACATCGCGGCAGAAGATTTCTAGTACATGAATTGTATTTGTATATGGAGTTGAACCTATTATTTTGAAAACATTTTGTAAACTCTTATCTTTTATTTTCCAATGTTCATTTTTCAATCATTTTGGATATTGAAGAACATTTGTAAAGGTTTTTATGTGAACCCTTTTACTAACTATGAAAGTTTATTTTCCTTAATTTAATTACATTATTACGATATATGTATTGGGGTAGTAAGGGTGTCACAAAATATATGTTCTTAATCAAATCTAGTGAAGAATCATTCATACATATATTTGTTACCACTAGCCAGTACTAATGTTTTGCACCCATACACCGGGTTTGTCACTTATTGAGCTATGAACAATGTAATGGCTTTTTGGCTGAAATAAATTAAAAAAAATACATAAAATAAATTTAAAAAAGAAACTAATCACCAACGATTTTTGACACGTAAGAGGTGACGTGGCATAAAAAACGTAAGGGAAGGCGTTTTGCAGATGGCACCTCTTTCCATTAATGACGTGCTGGGTTTGAAGATGGCGTCTTAACCCCCTGTGCCTTCTTCAATGCTACAGCAAACTCCTCCCCCATGCACCTCCTTCAATCCATAAATGTGTTGCAAAATGTGTTGCAAGGTCCAAGGGATGATAGACAGTTATGAAATGGTGCCTAAACACAATGCCAATTAATAAAAAAATATCAGATAACAGTAAAAGATAACAAATTTAGTTAGACTAAAATTCCCACGTGGCAGATACAACCAAAGCAGAGAAGCAACTATCTAGGTGCTAGTGTGCAGACCAAGAGTGATAGTCCCAAAACCTAGCTAAAAGAGGAAAAGTAGCAACGAAATTCAAAGAAGAGGCGATAAGAATGTTTGGCCGAGATTTTGGTGTTAGGAAAGTGAGATAAAAAAGAAGGTTGAGGTGGGAGTGTTCCTAGTGGTGGGTGGACAAAAGATCTTGAAGAAAAGGACATAATGGAAAAGTGTGAGATCCACAGTGAGGAAGAAAGAGCTGACTGAAATTGAGTCCATGCATGGTGGGGGAAGGAAAAACTGGATTTAAAAAGCCATGTTAATTCTACATTCAATGCCAAACCTTTTCACCCGAACAAACTTTCATTTGCTTCACCCTTAGCCTATTTTAGCCTAGCTTTCTATTCCAGATGAATTCTACTATATTATATCCTTTTTCAAAGCATATATCCAAATAAAACCACCTTCACACAGCAGCTATTCCTATTCAATGTGCATTGAACTTGTACAATAACACTCCACATCTTAAGTCCACAAAACCTCATTCCACTCCTTCATCATCTGAACAACTACTAAAATTTCCTCATGAACCCAAATCAACCTATCAATCACATCACAGGCATGCTTAAATTGAGACAAATTGCAATAACGCAAACTTACAGCTTTGTGAATATGCATATCTTGTTTCCTCCGCATCACTCCCGGTCGAATACCACCCCAGTATGTAGAAGTGCAGGAACACCTTCTTATCTGAACCAAAAAAAAAAAAAAAAAAAAAAACTCCAAAAAAAAAAAAGCGCCCGTACCATGTTCAGTACACCCGT